CCTCTTACTTTCCTTCTCTTTCCCCCTTTCACCTCGTATCCTCCCTTTCCTTTCCCCTTTCTCTGCCTCCTACTTTTCTTCTCTTTCCCCCCTTTCCGCTCGATCCCCTTTTCCCTTCTTCTCCTTTTTTCTGCTTCCCACCTTCTCTCTTCTCCTTTTTCTGCTTCCCACCTTCTCTCTTCTCCTTTTTCTGCTTCCCACCTTCTCTCTTCTCCTTTTTTCTGCTTCCCACCTTCTCTCTTCTCCTTTTTCTGCTTCCCACCTTCTCTCTCTTCCCCCTTCTCCCTTCCCCCCCTCCCCCACCTAAGTGTGATGTCTCCCCCTGAAATTAATTATCTAACCGCAACCCACCATTAGCTCGGTTCTCTACTTCTCTGGGGTTTCGTGATGGCCCGCTTTCCCTTGTCCTGTTGCATTTAATATTTAATTTAGTTTTTGTTCATTTAGAGTAGTACGGTGGGGGGGTAGGGGGGTAGGTGGAGGACCCAGGAGGACTGGGTGGGGGTGGGGGGGGGCGAGGGCGAGTTCCAAACAGGAATAACAACATTAATAACAACAACAACAACAATATCAACAACAACAACAACAAAAGAGAGAATGAGAGACACGAGGAAAAAGTAAAGACAATAATAATGGAATGAATGGAAGGAAGGACGAGGAGGACAGAGAAAAAAAACAAAATAAAACAAAAGAAAAAAAGAAGAAGAAAAAAAAAGGAACAGGAAAACAGGAATGAGAGACGGAATGAAAAAAAGAGAGAAAGATAATGGAAGGAAATTGGAATGAAATACAAAGGCAAGGCAGAACTAAGTCAAGAACAAGAACACGGATCTCAGTGAAGAACAATGACAACAATAATAACAATAACAGAAAATTGGCGTAAGAAATACAAGGGGAAGATCAAGGCCAAACGCGATAATAGGAAGAAAACAAAGGACCAAGAACAGAAATAAAGAAATAACAATGATGGTGGTGATGGTGATGATGGTGGTGATGATAGTGGTGGTGATGGTGATAGTGGTGGTGATGGCGATGATGGCGATGATGGTGATGGTGATCATGGTGATGGTGGTGGTTATGATGGTGGTGATAGTGGTGGTGATGGTGGTGGGTGGTGATGATGACAATGATGATGAAGGTGACGACGATGATGATGATGATGATGATGACAATGATGATTATGGAGATGATAACGGTGGTAATGGTGATAATGATGATGACAGTGATGATAATGAGGGTGACGACTTTAACGATGACGATGACGATGACGATGACGATGACGATGACAATGGCGATAGCGATGACGATGATGGTGGTGGTGTTGGTGATAGTGATGTTGGGGATACTGATTTTGATAATGATAACAGCAGTAGCAGCAATAATGATAATAGCAACAAACAATAACAACAATGATAATACTGTAAATATAGTCTAACAAAAACAACAAATTATAAGTGCGTCAACAACAATAAAGGACATAAGAACGACTATAATGACAGTAATTAAAATAATGACAACAACATGATTATGATTACACAGATGATAGCACTAATAACAATGAAAAAGGATAATGAAACCAATAACAACAGCGGCCATTCCCAACGGAAATAACCAGCCTGAAAGCCATAATATTAATAACGATAACGATAACACTAATAAGGAAAATAACACAGCAACCCCCCCAAAAAACAACAACAACACAATAACAACAAGCAAACAGCTAATGGGCAGTAAACAAAATACAAAAAATCAAAAGGTAACAAAACAAACAAACAAACACATAAATAAAAGAAAAGCCTGTTTTCGTCCACTTACATCTCCTGTTTTGATTATTCCTATATTTATCATGTATGTCTTTGTCTTTTATTTAGTGTCATATCTGCTTGATTTGTTTGCATTAATAAGCGGACAGGGGAATAAGCGAATGAAGGGGAGAGAGAATGAGAGAGAGAGAGAGAGAGAGAGAGAGAGAGAGGGAGGGAGGGAGGGAGGGAAGGAGGGAGGGAGAGAGAGAGAGAGAGAGAGAGAGAGAGAGAGAGAGAGAGAGAGAGAGAGAGAGAGAGAGAGAGAGAGAGAGAGAGAGAGAGAGAGAGAGAGAAGCAAAGACAGAGAAAGAAAGAGAGAACAAGCGAACGAGCAAGAGAGAGAAAAGGAGAGAGAGAGAGACCGACAAAAGATAACACGAGAGAATTTGTGTGCAAGAGCCAGGGAGACTTATTTCAGCCGACAGAAGGCAAAAGCTTATCAAATGCAAAACCCCGAACATCCGGGAAGGGAATACAGCGTTACCAGATGAGACGAATATCCCTGACATTATATGCTTTGTCACCAGCTGAAATGAATGGCTCAGTCATGGGCTACAATATTACCAGATGATGTGGACACTCTCATGGAATACAGCATTGCCAGATGAGAAAAATACCTCTGGCATGAAAGGTTGTGTTAGCTGTATTAACAGAGGAGCTAAATACCTTTGACATGGAATACATTAATATTCAAAGCAGAAACATTTCGTATGGAAAACAGTGATACCAGAAATTCGAGAGGACACTATACACAGTATGGGTTGGTTCATATTTTATCATACAGAGTTCATATTTCATACCAACAACACTCATTTAGTTGACATGCATCTGTGTTTGCGTGAATGTTAATCAGCCACCTGGTATTCACATGCAAAAACAGAGTTGTAAATGAAGCACATATGCACACACGAGTGGCGCTGTATCCATAGACACATTCATTTATACCCCCTGTCCATATGCACCACGGATCAGAATGTATTTACATGTGAGCATTTACATCAGTGCGTGGATGCGGTGGCCTCAGGTATGGCAAGTGTGAGTCGGCCACCAACTTTCACCGGACTCGAGGCAGATGAGCATTTGTTAAATCATCGAGTGTGTTTTTTTTTCTACCTCGCCATGAGTCGCAGAGTCTACTGGATGCTATTAACTAACCAGCCGTACGATATTCTACTCTATTAGCAAAGCGGAGAAACACATCGTAACGTTTGCGATTTAAAAGAAGTATAAGTGCGAGCTTCGGAGAGTCTTGTGCGTTTTGTGAAAGTAACCGACCGAATCAGCCCCGCTATGAGGCAATGCGTCAATAGAGAGTGAATACACTATTAGGCTCTGTGAACAATTTCGTTTCTCTTTCCGCTTTTATTTGAGACCAGAACGTGTGGTTGTGGCTTTTGATCCTGATTGTAACCTGACTTGGGAGCTTTTAATGGACTATTGTCAATTTTACATAAACTCTTTATCATTCTCTTTTTCCGTTTCAAGTTTTTGCTAACGTGTTTACCATGGCATATAAGCCGATGAACTTATCATAAGATAACAAAACCTTTTCTTTTATCACCCGTCATGTAACATTCCTGAAGCGGACGCCGTAATGTGGAACAGTGAAGCAGCAATACACGGGGAAAATATTACATTTCGAACGCGTTAGTGAATGTATATGCCTCACGACTAGAACACAGTACTGCCATAACCATCTCGCTGGATATACCTTTCTAAACAACTAATGACAGGGTCTCACACGCAATGGTAATACTGATTTCGCCTCTTCATGCTCATGGTAACACTGGGGAAACAAACCGATCATGGTGACATTCCGTTCCGTAATAAAATTTGTTTTTGTCAACGTGAAACGTCTCCGGGCTCCTTTTTATATACATATTTATATATATATATATATATATATATATATATATATATATATATATATATATATATACATATATATATATATATATATGTATATATATATATATATATATATATATATATATATATATATATATATATATATATATATATATATATATATGTGTGAGTGTGTGTGTGTGTGTGTGTGTGTGTGTATGTATATATATATATATATATATATATATATATATATATATATATATATATATATACATATATATATATACATATATATATATATATATATATATATATATATATATATATATATATATATATATATATATATATGTATATATATGTATACACACACACACACACACACACACACACACACATACATATATATATATATATATATATATATATATATATATATATATATATATATATATGTAAACACACACACACACACACACAAATATATATATATATATATATATATATATATATATATATATATATATATATATATGTGTGTGTGTGTGTGTGTGTGTGTGTGTATGTGTGTGTGTATGTGTGTGTGTGTGTGTGTGTGTGTGTGTGTGTGTGTGTGTGCGTGTGTTTATAAATGTGTTTACGCATATATGCGTTTATTTATTTATTTATTTCTATAATGTATGCTTATATATGTAAATATATGTATATATATATATATATATATATATATATATATATATATATATATATATATATATATACATACATATAAACACGCACGCGCATATGATATACAAACACAGTGAACATTGCTTGATATTGCATAACAAAAGTTGACAATTCCGCAGTGTGAACATCTAGGTTAGCCCATGTCTGTCGTCATCGCTGCCATATTGTGAACGACGTGACGTCACTCCAGCCATGACACCTTGCATTCGAGTCTGGGGGATTTCTTCATCTTTTATTTTCTCTACTTCTGTTTTTACTTTTGTTTTATTTGCTTTATTTGAAATAGAGGCCGATTTATTTTTATTTATTCAATCTAAGGCTTTGTTTATCTGTGTTTATTCTGGTTGTTATTTACTCAGTTGATTTAGGCTATGTTTCATATATCATATATTTTTTTATACTTCTGACCCCTTGCATTTGAGTATGGTGTATTTTTTTTTCATTTGTGCCTCCTTTATTTATTAATTTTATCCTCTACGTTCATTGATTTATCTATATCAGTTATTAGATTTTGATTCCTATTTTATTTCTCATTTATTTTTATATTTATTTTACTGGATTAAAAAACAAACATTTTTCATTTGTTGCACCGTATCTTTATCCATTATCTGTGGCTTTTGTATGTTTGCCTTTTATATATTGCTGATTGCAGGGGTATTTTCTGTAAGTTATCTTTAGTTTCCATTCATTTTTATTTATTATTTTTCTATTCTCTCTATTTGTAGATTTTTTTTTGTAATGATTGTTATTTCTTCGTCTTCTTATTTTTTTTTCCTGTATCTTTTTTTTTCATTCGTGTTAATTTTACTTTACATTTGTTTTGTTGCAATATATTGACATTCATCTCTTCTCCATTTCCATTTTTCGTATTCTGTTTACGATAATTTCTTTCTCTGTCTAAATATCCCATATTGATAATAGTTATGATAATGATGGTAATACTACTACTACTACTAATGATGACAATAATGATAATGATAATAATAATAAAAATGATAATAATAATGATGATAGGGATGATGAGGATGATGATGATGATGATGATAATGATAAAAACAATGATAATAATAAATAATGATAATAATGATTATAACAATAATTATGATAATGATAATAATGATAATTATTTTAATAATTATATCAAAATGATAATGATAATAAAAAAAATAATAATGATAATAACAATAATACAATAGCAATAATGATAATGATAATAGTAATATTGATTATAACAATACTAATGATGATTATCTTAATGATTAGTGTTATTATGATAATAATAAGGATTTATACAACTACAACTACTTCTACTAATAATGATGGTGATAATGATAATGATAATAATAGTAATGATAATAATCATAATACTACTAGTAGTAATGATAATGATAATGATAATGATAATGATAATGATAATGATGATAATGATAATAAAATAAAAATAAAAATGGTAAGAAATAATAAAAAATCATTAACATTATAATAAATTGTTAATGAAGATGAAAATAGATACAATAATAACGGAAATGATAATAACAAAGAAGAAATTATGAAAAGAATTATAATAAAATAATAATAATGATAACAATAATAATGAAACTAATGAAAAGTTTGATAATAGAAATAACAACGATTGCGAAAAATATCAAGAAATAAAATAATAATCATAAAAATAAGAATAAAATGATAATGACGAAAATAATAGTGATAAGTATGATAAAAATAAACATCATAATAAGAAAATGAAAATAATAATGATAAATGAAAGAAAAGTGATAATTAGAAAATCAAAAATAAAATAACAATATATTGAAAAAAAACAGTAATAATAAAAATTGATAAAATGATAAAAATAGTAATGATAACAATGATAATCATAATCATAATAATAATAATAATGATACTACTACTACTACTACTAATGATGACAATAATGATAATGATGATAATAATAAAAATGATAATAATAATGATGAGAGGGATGATGAGGATGATGATGATGATAATGATAAAAACAATGATAATAATAATGGTGATTAAAAAAATAATGATAATAATGATTATAACAATAATTATGATAATGATAATAATGATAATTATTTTAATAATTATATCAAAATGATAATGATAATAATAATAAAAAAAATAATGATAATAACAATAATACAATAGCAATAATGATAATGATAATAGTAATATTGATTATAACAATACTAATGATGATTATCTTAATGATTAGTGTTATTATGATAATAATAAGGATTTATACAACTACAACTACTGCTACTAATAATGATGGTGATAATGATAATGATAATATAGTAATGATAATACTCATAATACTACTAGTAGTAATGATAATGATACTGATAATGATAATGATCATATATGATGATAATGATAATAAAATAAAAATAAAAATGGTAAGAAATAATAAAAATCATTAACATTATAATAAAATTGTTAATGAAGATGCAAATAGATACAAATAAAACGGAAATGATAATAACAAAGAAGAAATTATGAAAAGAATATAATAAAATAATAATAATGCTAACAATAATAATGAAACTAATGAAAAGTTTGATAATAGAAATAACAACGATTGCGAAAATATCAAGAAATAAAATAATAATCATAAAAATAAGAATAAAATGATAATGACGAAAATAATAGTGATAAGTATGATAAAAATAAACATCATAATACGGAAAATGAAAATAATAATGATAAATGAAAGAAAAGTCGATAATTAGAAAATCAAAAATTAAACTAACAATATATTGAAAAAAACAGTAATAATAAAAATTGATAAAATGATAAAAATAGTAATGATAACAATGATAATCATAATCATAATAATAATAATAATGATACTACTACTACTACTACTACTAACATCAACACTAATAACGACTATGATAATAACATTGACCATAAACTGACTGATAACACACACATACACACCACACACCCAACCTCCCCCCCCCCCCCCCCCACACACACACACATCCACACACACATCCACACACACACGCGAAATCCAGCCAGGCAAATGAAGAGAGCAATGCGCATTATCTACTCGCGCGCACAGTGACTGCACAAAATCCTCGTCACTCGCACTTTTTCCTCGCCATAAGTGACATAACACTTTTACGTAATAACAGGCTCGGTTTGTAATTGTCATGTTAACTCTCTTACATACAAAAAGAAGAAGGAGGAGGAGAAGAAGGAGGAGAAGGAGGAGGAGGAAGAGGAGGAGGAGGAGAAGGAGGATGAGGAGGATGAGGAGGATGAGGATGAGGATGAGGATGAGGATGAGGATGAGGATGAGGATGAGGATGAGGATGAGGATGAGGATGAGGATGAGGATGAGGATGAGGATGAGGATGAGGATGAGGATGAGGATGAGGATGAGGATGAGGATGAGGATGAGGATGAGGATGAGGATGAGGATGAGGATGAGGATGA